CTCCATGCAACTGAAAAAAAGCAGGACTACCTATCCTCTTTGCAGATCAAGTGGATTTCAAAATCTAAAACACTTCTGGTCCCAAGAATTTCAGATAAGGGACAGTCAACCTGTATGTACAAATCTATTTGAATATGTGTTTTCATTTCTCTTAAGTAAAAGAAACTTAAGAACAGAACTGTTGGTTCTTAACAATAATACAAGAAATTTCTGTATTTTTTCCAAAATAGTTTTATCATTTTACATTCACATTAGCAGTATTAGAAAGTTCTAACTGGTTCACACCTAAGCTGACATTTGTTCTGTTAAAACCTTTAACTTAATCTCCCTAATGAGTGTATAATACAATCTTGTTATTGTACTGATTAGTATTTTTCTGATTCTAGTGTTGCACACCTTTTCTTGTGCTGTACTGGCTATTTATCATCTTCTTGTGTCTACTTTTTTTTTCAGGTATGCAACAAATATAAGTTTGATAGTATAAATCAACAGGGAAAAAGAAATAAGAAGCAGCCAATATTTGATTTTCATCCTTATCACTTTTTCTAGGGCCCCTCTAACTTGATGTAAACTTAAAATTTCCAAGGAAATTCCTATTCTACTCCCATTTTATCATAAATAAATTGAATAGTTTTTCTGATGGTATGATAAAACAGGAAACACTTACATTTGAAATGGAAAAGGCACTCCATTTGTGATCAATGTCACACAAAATCACATTCCCATCAGAAAACACAAACATAAACATCACAAAACTAAAAATACATGGGATATCAATACCATTTTTCAAATAAATTTGGAAGCTACTTCAGTCTCCCAAAAAAAGAACAATACTTCAAAAAGCCATAAAGAAAACCCCTGTCCATTTCCAAGTAACCCAAATAGAAGAGACAAAAAGATTCTATGCATGGTATTTTACCCCCTTCCCTGGTCCTTCACTACTTAGAAAACTGCCTGCTCTCCACAAACACAGACTGAGAATGGGGCTCATTTCACATGGGGTGGGAACAAGACCAGTAAAGAGGTTGCAGAACACTCCCTGCCACTGTCTCTTTCACACATCTTGCCCCTCAGGGACCCAGACTATAACATTTTCCTCTCTCAAAGCCCACTCTTATAGGCATCACTAGCAAGTTCTGTGATGACTGAGGAGGAGGCATTACACTTTGGGAGTCACTGGCATATGAACTTCAGCACAAGACTTGGATGGCTCTAGGAAGCTGAATATCACACTTTTATTAACAGTCATCTAGAAGACTCTATGATCTTTTGAGGGCAGAGAAGCTCAGCTGGTCCCAGCACCCGGAAGGAAGCTCCCTGCCTCCATCCCAGGCTCCGAGGGCAGAGAAGCTCAGCCAGTCCCAGGACCAGGAAGGAAGCTCCCCCGCTTCCATCCCAGGCTCCTAGGGCAGAGAAGCTCAGCCGGTCCCAGCATCCAGAAGGAAGCTCCCTGCCTCCATCCCAGGCTCCTAAGGCAGAGAAGCTCAGCTGGTCCCAGCACCCAGAAGGAAGCTTCTCTGCTGCCATCCCAGGTTCCTAGGGCAGAGAAGGTGAGCCAGTCCCAGCATCTGGAAGGAAGCTCCCCCACCGCCATCTCAAGCTCCAAGGACAGAGAAGGTGAGCTGTGTGGGCCCCAGAAGCACCCCACTCCCTTGGAAATGAGAAAACACATAAACAAGCCTCAAATACAGGGTTCCAGATCACCTACAGCAACCCCAAAGGGAAACGAGATGGAACAATCTGATACTCAACCACCTGGACTCTCTGAACTGGAAACAAAAGAGGATCTGGGAAAAATGAAATCAGAAATAATTACTCAGATAACAGCAAAGATTTTCCTCATGGTCCAA